TGGCAAGTCAATTTAGTGTTTCCCCTCACTATATTGATTTTTCAAAAAGAGATGAGTAGAACTGTCAATAGTATTGGTATTACTTAGATATAGTATCAAACATTGTATTAACAAAGAATCCTGTGAACCTAAAAATAAAGGGGCATATCTATTGGAGAAATTATAATACATCACCTACATCTAATTTTTAGCTGGAGATTGCCATCCAAGGCAGAGGATTGGGTTTATGAAGGGTAAAAAGTCTTTTCTTGTTTTCTTTCTTTTGTAAAGTCTTTCATTTAGACTTTACAAATATAGGATTTACCTGTCAGGAGAGGATAGATTTTTCTTTCATAGTACCCAATTCGGCAAAGCGGTCTAAAGCTAAGAAACTTTCTGTGCTGAACCTTAACATGCTATTGACTAGCTAAATTTCAATAACAGCCAAATTTAAGTTTTGTGACAATGTTTAAATTAATATGATAAATTATTAACTAAAGCTTTTACTTGATGTTTTACAATTTACAAAGAACTTTAAGTAGTTCTCAGTTGAGATATTCACAACATAACTCTTGCAACTCAGGATGGTTAAGTGCCCTTCCCTGAGATACTTGGGTAGTAAACAGCAAGTTTCAATTCAAATCTGGATATTCTGAGGCTATATTTGGTATAATTTCAGTATAGTTGGTCATCTTTCTATACACCATGTTTTCTTTCAGTTAGCTTTGACCTGAGTACAGCTTTGAGTAAAATGACCCATAAATCTTCCATGCCCATCACAACTCTAGTCATTTAGGCAAAGAGCATGAATGACAAATAGCTGATATTTATGCTGGCTCTCCCCACTCTACACTGAACTCTTTCCTGCTATTCCTGGATATGACCTCAGAATCCTTCACAACACAACCTCTGTACATTCACTATAAATTAATTAGATTTGGAATGCCAAAGGAAACCTATTTTTTTCACCCCTGAAATAATGTTCTGTCATGTTCTACTGGAGTTAATAAATTCTCTACAATTTCAATCTTAGATGATTAGTACTCTTAGCCTTCAGATTTTTCTCTTTCATTTCACCACAAAGTTGTCTTCCCCAAGTCCCCTTTTATTATGATACCTGTTGGTTAAAAGTCTCATTGCTTCTCCAATAAATGCTTAATTAAGTCCAAACTCCTTCCTCTGTCATTCAAGACCCAACACCATCTGGCCCAGACTCTTTTTGGTCACAGCTGCCACTGTTCTCCAACATGAACAACATTCTGAGACAACTGGGACCACTCATTTCCTCATACACACTCCTCTTCATTCCAGCCTCTTCTATTGATGATCTCTATCAGAAATGCCATCTTTTCTTTCTTATCTTACTTCAACTTCATTTGTCAAAATTCCTGCCAGTTTTTTAGGTTGATCATTGCTGTCTAAGTTTGAATTTTGGTTCTTCTACTTACCAGCTGGATGATATTAGACAAGTAACTTAACTTTCTTGGCCTATGATTCATTGTCTGTAAAATGGGAACAATAATACCTCAGGGGGTTGTTATGTGAGCTGAATATGTGAGTTATTCTATACAAAGAACTTATAAATGAATGACACATACTTTATAAACATTTGCTGCTTGTGTCATCATTTGATTTAAGAAGTTATTGTTTTTAATTTTGCTCTAATACCATTTGGTATTGTCTTGTGCTAAGACACCTATCACACACTGCCTTGATACATTAGTATCTGTATATATGTCATATGTTCTCTTCTAAATTTCAAGTTCCTGTAGAGAAGTGACCATGAATTTAAGACATTCTTATGCCACAAAACCAATGATATAGTGCCTTGAACACTGGTGAATAATCAATAAATATCTATTGAACCCAGTGTTTTGACAAAATAATGCTACCTATAGATATAACTTAGTATTATATTTTCAACATTTATTGTTGTTTTCTATATCATATACATTAAGAAGTAAATCATTTTCTAGAATCTCAGAGCAGGCAATCAACTTGAAAAGAATTGCAATTTACTCTCTTATTTCCAGTTTAAGTACCTAAGGTATTCAAAATAAATGACTACTTCTTTACATTTAAATGATTTCAAAATACAAAAATACTTCGATCATCCCTTTGGCCTATTCCATTGTTTATTTAGCTTAATGCTTTTCCTCAAGTCTAGACAAATTCTCTTGACACAATGAATATCTCCCAAAGATATTATCTTCTCAATCTTTAATCCAAGTAAAGCAAGATTATTAGTTTCTCCTCAAAGGATTTATTTTCTCGTCTTTAAATCAATTGAACTCTCAAGATTCATTCTCATTCCTGCAATGAAAGGAAAATACAGAAACTAGTGCCAGGAATCAAGGATGAATGACTTTCTGGATACATTAAAATATTATCTTGTATTTTTTTTTCATAAAAGCTACATTCTTGTCTTGTGCTCACAGTGATTGATAAGATCCTCAGAACTTGGCTGCATTGGTGCGGATTTTCTCCATCCCAGAGCTGTCTGACTTAGTTTTAGTCCCTAAGTGAACTGTTTGCAATGGGGTCTAAAAACCATTCTCAAATATATCAAGGAAACTGTAGGAGGTGTTATTTGCCCCAGCTAATTTAGTGTCATGAACAGATGTGATGAAATCTCAATTTCTTCATCCAGGTTACAACTATCCAATAAAATCAGCCCTTGAGGGGCCTGAGGAACAATTCCTAATGGATGATCTTTCAGCTTGTTATTGTACCCACTAACAGTGGTTGGGTCTATATTTAATCTTTTTAGCTTGTAGACAAGACTGTCAGGAAGCGAGTAAGTGGTGGTGGTGAGGGGGATTTTAAAGGCTTATTAAAATCAGTCAGGGTATGCATGTTACTTCTCCTTGGCCTAAATACAGCTCACCCCTCATACAGCACGAATGCAATATTTTATAACATGACTCACTGTTCAAAGAACCATGTCTCTCACATCTAACACTTTGCATTTATTTATATCATCAGAGTGGATCATTGGATCATTTCTAATAATTCAAGAACCTTTTTCTATTACTTTTTAGGTTATACCCAGTCTAGTAAACTATTTTAAGAATGCTCCTACACAGTACAGCAAAGACTAAGAAGTTTACAAATAGTAGATGAATTTGTGGTTGAAAGCCTAAAGTGATAAATGATAACCACAGAAATCCCACATGTGAAGAAATACTCTGTTCTTTTTGGAAAAGGAAAGGCACTAGGGAAGATTAGATCTAAAGTTTTCCCAAAGGCTTATGCCTTGAAAATTGGAAAAAGACCAAACTCTGGAAACTGTTAAGATTTTTTTAAGGGATTAGGCCTGAAAGCAGGCTGAGGGATAACTACTCTAAACTGAGAGATGGATTGTGCCCAATTGATATCAGATGTCTGAAGTTAAACACCAAGTAATCTTTTCATTTTACTTTTCATGATAGTGACAGGCAAATAAGAATCTATTTTTGATGCTCTTTCATGGCAGATACTGGAGAATCAGTGCTGCCTTTGTACATTTGGTGTTTATGACAGGTCATATTTTCTTTGAAAGCCATGGGGAGTCAATATATACCAACCCAGGAAGTGGCATAAATGAGATGTTACCAGTCCCCAAAAATGGTATCTATAGCTTTGAAATCTGTCAAAGGAAGTAAAATAATAGCAATCATCATAATAAACAGCTTTTGATGCAGTTGCATATTTACTTAAAATGAAAATGTGTTGTTTTGCTCATTATAAAATTTATAGATATTCACTTAAATAAAATGATTAAGAAAATTAAGAATATTACAAAAAATAAAGTAAAAATCACTGACAGCCTTTCATTCAGATAACTACTTTTAATCTATAATAATAAAAGTATAATATGCTAATTAGACCAGATGTCCTTCCAGATGACCTTCTGGACAAAGCCAGGGCTTCGAGGGAAGCCCAGGTCCCGGGTGCCAGAGGGAAGCCGGTGCCAGCAGCCGGGGCAAGGAAGGCCTACTCTTGCATGAATTTCATGCATCGGGCCTCTAGTTTGTTTATAAGCATCCTTTCATCTCTATGCACACATAAGCACATGTAAAATTGGGTGTCCAAGTTTACATGTACAGGATAATGTTGTGCAATATTCATTCCACAATATAGTATAAATATTTTATGTGATTAAATACATTTTAAAATGACTGCTTAAAATTCTATTGGATGTATGTCCCTATAGGTTGATGGATATTTAAGTTGTCTTCAATTTGGGGCCATTGTAAATAAGATTTCAATAAGCAACCTTCAGCATATGTATTGGCAGATTTGTGTAATTGCGTCTTTAAGAAACAGTTATTAGATGTGACATTTCTGGGACAAAAGAAGTGTACATTTAAATTTTTTATACATATCACGTAACTGGCTTCAGAAAATTTTTATTAATTACTCTCAAAACAATGCATGATCTAGTTGATTTACTTCTCTAACACTAAGTTTGCTGTTGCAAATTCCAAGTTCTACTTTTTATTTTTGCCAATTTGATGGATGAAAATAATATTTAACTGCTATTTATATTGATTTTTTATAAACAGTGAAATTTAAAATATTACTTTAAAATTTCAATTCTTTTATCAATTGTCAGTTTATTATGTCTTTGGCCATCTACATTTCTATTTTTTATTTTAAAGAACATATTTTTAAATATACATGAGGAATGATCAATTTTCTCTGCCATGTTTAGTTCAAATATTTTCCTGGATTATTGTTTGTTTTTTGAATTTGTATGTAGTATTTTTTAATAGATATAGTCAAAGTTTTATATAATCAGTTATATACTTCTGGTTTTAATGTCATGAAATACTTAGAAAAATACTCAGCCCTGGTAGGTTTTATTTTACTTTTTTTGCATTTAAATTTTGTCACCCATGAAGAGATTGATTTCTGTATGAGGGTGTAGATAAGATCAACATTTTTTAAACTACTGTCATAATATCCTTTAGTGAGAAAAAAAAGTACTCATTTGCTTAACTATTTAAAACAACCTTTCTTTATATATAAAATGGCCAGTGCTTGTTTTGGCAGCACATATACTAAAATTAGAAAGATACAGAGAAGATTAGCATGGCCCCTGAGCAAGAATGACAAGCAAATTCATGAAGTGTACCATTTTTTTTAAATGGCCATATATACATGGTCATCTTTTTGTCGTCTCTCTACAGTTCAATTGGTCTGTCTCTTCCTACAGCAGTAACATCAGCTTTGATTACTTTAGCTTTATATTATGTTTTGATATCTACTGAAGAAAGAACTCTTCATTATATTTAAAGAACATCTTTAGTTCTTCTTACGTATTACTCTAAATGAACTATAGAAACATTTAGTCATGTCTCCAAAAATTTCCTGGACTTTTAATTGATTGAATAGATGAATCTGAGTAGAATTAACTTTTGCCCTCTGTGGTGGGTTTATGATGTGTCAACTTGGGTGGGTCAAACTACATTTCCAAAAATTCCCTTTCTTGTATGTTTCCTGCAAGAGTGGGTCATGAGAGAGCTTTGGGCATGAAAATGAGCAGCCGCCATTTATAGCTCACACACTTCATCACTCATCTCATGACTCGTCTTGTTGGTATGAGACAGCAGCTGGACCCGAAACTGTTCCACTTTCTGCTGGCTCCTCTTTCAGTTTCCCTGACTCCTGGGCCAGGTGTGTGTAACTCCTGGGACATGACCAAGGTCCTTAGCTTCTGCAGGACACCACGCCATCAAGATGTGAGAAAGTCAGGACCAAGATAAGATAAGCAAGACCCCTAACATGCCAAAGTGTAGGGGACAGTCACTCTCAGGTTTGTGGAAGTACCACCCTATAATGGCACGAACCCGAGAGTGCATTCCATGCCGACTAACTTTGCAGTCTAGAAGCCTCACCTACCTCATCCTGGTCCCAGCCCTGTCTGATGCAATAAGAACTGACCCAGATTTTAGTTAGGCCTCCTGTGCTCCTGCTTTGGTTTGTGAGTTCTAGCTTATACTTGCTCATGCTCCAGCCTCAATCACAAAAATAATTGCTTAACAGAGATGATATGGTTTAAGTAGCTCCCACAATCACATGCCAAATCCCTATAACAAATTCCTGCATACACAGAATCCAGGAAAATATTTGAACTGATTATGGCAGATAAAGTTGAACAATCATAATGTATACAAAAATGCTCTTAAGAATTAGTAATAGAAAAATAGATAACCCAGGACATAATAAACTAATAATTCACATGAAAATTAAAAATTCAAAGGAATGTTTTAAGATTTACTATTAATCAAAGAAGGAATATAAGTACAAAAATCAAATATCATTTTTCACCCGTCATGTTGGAATGATAATAGGTAGGGATTCTCCTACCTAGCTTTGTTCTATTTTCTCATCCCTCAATAATCCCAAATCCTTTGATTTACATTATATAAATCAATATTACCCACCCTTCCATCTTGTTATAGTTATCTACAGAACTCCAATTACTCCCTTTAACTCACTAAAGTTTTTATCTTCTGGCTCACCATCTTCTCTGCCACCAATTCTATCATCATTCTTGATGTCTCACAACTTATCTATTCAACACTCTGGACTCTCATTCATAGAGATCTTCCCTCTCAAGGATCTTGCCCTCCACGTCACCTCAGCCACTCTTTCCCACAGTCACACCCTGCGCTATCACTAGGCACTGTGCTACATCAGAAATCTTTATATCAAGCATCTCATATCACTATCATTAAAGAAGTGTTCAATTAGATGTATAGGATTATTGAAATAACAGTTTAAAAACTTAATGGCCTTATAACAGCAGTATTTTTCCTACTACTGGTTTTCATTTATAACAATCTGACATGGATCTTAGCTTCCAGATTTTTAGTCTCCAATACCATTCTCCATCCAAAGGAATGAGACAAGTGTGAAAGTGTCTGAATCCATATCTTGGGTCGGAAATAAATCCAGATGGGTCTACAACAAATTGTTGTTTCCAGAAATCAAAAATACTTTTTAAAAAGTGCTTAAACTACAAAGAAGCTCCTTAAAGTTGCTCTTGAAGACTGTTGCAACAACTTAATACCAAAATATGTTGTGTTTGAGCAAATTGAATCTGTGAAGAGTGATCAGCCTATAATAAAATTCAAAAAGGGAAAAGTTAGTATGAATTTTTAAAAGTAGTCACAAAAGCAAAGTTGGCAACAATAAAACATGGTCACTTTTTAAACTTAATTTTAATATATTTGGGGCCTTTGTATATATGGGTGTTGTTTTTTTCTATACTTACTAGAGGCCCGGTGCACAAAAATTTGTGCACTCGGGGGGGAGGGGGTCCCTCAACCCAGCCTGTGCCCTCTTGCAGTCTGGGACCCCTCGGGGGATGACCACCTGCTGGCTTAGGCCCGCTCCCCAGGGGATTGAGCCTAAGATGGCAGTCAGACATCCCTCTGGCAGCCCGGGAGCCCTCGGGGGATGCCCACTTGCCAGCAGGGAGCAGGCCTAAGCTACAGTCGGACATCCTTAGTGCTGCTGAGGAGGCAAGAGAGGCTCCCACCACCACCGCTGTACTGGCAGCCATCAGCCTGGCTTGTGACTGAGCAGAGCTCCCCCTGTGGGAGAGCACTGACCACCAGGGGGCAGCTCCTACATTGAGCGTCTGCCCCCTGGTGGTCAGTGTGTGTCATAGTGACTAGTCATTCCCAGTCGTTCTGCTGTTAGGGTCAATTTGCATATTACCCTTTTATTATATTGGATATGCCTGTCTCTGAAATGCATTTTTAAAACCAGAAATCGCCGTTTTGACTTACCAAATGGCAATTACATATGGTTCAACCAATACAGACACATTTATATCTATATGTGTAAGAAAAAAAGGCACAAACAGGTAACTGAAAATGCCACAAATACTAGAAACTGTACAAAGAATTGTAAATAATGATTTGCTCTAGGAGTCACTCTAACTAGTTAGAAAGAGGGCAAAATAGTGAGAGGCCAAATAATAAATTAGCCTAATGTCCTAAAAGGAGAGCTCACTGCACAAAATTACCTCCTCATCCTTTGGATGGCCCTGCTATTTATAATGAATTAGTGAGACTGCCCAACAAAGTACACAGTGAACTAAGGGGGGAATATCTGCAACAAACACTTGATGAGAGTGAAGAAGAAGCATCATCAGATGTCAAGGAAAGATCTGGTTTACAGTGTCCCATACAAATACTTACTAAGCATTGACTATAAAAGAATTTAGTTTGAGGTAACAACCAGGTCCTTGTAGAATAGTTCTGCCATAATATTCTGGTGACCTTGCATCTCTCTGCATAAGTCATGTAGGCAAGGCTTGATTGCCGTCTGACCAGTCCTGGTAGAATGTCCTGTAATTTCTCATACAACAGGAGGAAATAAGTCTGGTAAGAATTCACCAAGGGACTGCTTCTTATCCCTATATCGTGGGAGACTGCCTCAAGACTGTTTCTCATTCTCATCCATCTCCCTAGTTCCAGTTGAGCACAGGACTTTGATCTTGACGTTCCCTTGGGGTACAGCTGCAGGCTTCTGTGTAGGACTATAAAACTCCTTGGCTGCTGTTTAGTTGGCTCCCCTACAACAGAGTTGCCCACCACTCATAATGTATGTTATCTAGTGTCATCTTGTGATACTAGACACACCGGGAGTTGACACCAGGTTGCTTGCTTTTTCTGTCTAAAGCCATGTGGGCTCATTGTTTTCTGACCAGCTGAAGTTATGGGGTGTGTAGCAAGTAAGCTAACAGGTGCAGTGGTAATAGCTGTGGTCCTGTTAGTCACAGTGCTACTATTTTGGGAATGCTCAGCTGCCTGACACTCCCCTGGCCCAACCAAAATCAATTGTTCAGTAGCTGAGAAACAACATCGCAGCAGGTCTGAATGATTATCCTCTTTGTTTTGGATCTGACATCATTAATGACACCTTGAAGAGGTAGAAAATTGTAATAATTTGTGTGTATTTTAAGGTAGAAGAGTCCTTAAGAAATTCTGATATATTAAATCTTTTTATCTTTCTAAGATTTAGGACATTTGTGTGAGTTTGAAATTAACATCAAAGTGTTTAAAAGAAATTTATAACAACATTTTGAAATTTATTAGTTGTATAAGTAGTGTTTAAATTTTTTAAATTTAACAGATTTATAAATCATTAAAATGAAATAGAAATAATTAAAATTAGAAGCAAATGTTCTTTCCCTCAAAGAAGCCCAGACATTATAGATTTCAGCTATGTCTCTCCCTCCTCTCTGTCTAGCCTCCTTCCTCTAGTGCACACACATAATGCTATGACCCTAGCCCAGCATTTGGAGTCCACTGAGGTCACTAAATTCACACTGTCCATTACCCCCTTCGTGTTCTCACATGTCTCCTTCCTGGCTTACAGTCCATAGTCCATAGTCCATAACCAGAATTGCTCCTTTGCATACACACTCCATTTTCTTGTTCTCGTTCTACACTTACTCAACCTGCAAAACAAAGGTCCAAGATTTATCCAATTGTTCCCCTACTCTAGGACTTACCACAACTGGATGACTGGCCATACTTTAAATGTATGATTAAAACTCTCAAGTGGGCCTTCAGGATTTCTCAGCAATCCTAGAAATTTTACTCGTTATCCAAGTTGACACTTTATACTTTCTTCTCTGTTTCAAATCTCCAGTATCCTCTCCTTTTTTTTCCATTTCAACTGATGGCTTTGCTTTTCATTTCATTGGGCTATTCAAAGCAATCAGAAAACTACCTCATCTTCCCACCAGCAAACCCAGTAACCTACCCATTTATGCTGTTATAAACTCTATCTTCCTCTTATGGCTAGAAATGGCCACCACCTCCACTTATGTATTTAAATGCAAATTCTCTTGCCTATTCAAGCAGGTAATTGCTCCTGTGATTACCTGCTTTTTTCTCCTACAATTATCCAATGCTCTTTGCAGCAGTGTAAAATTGCACTAACCTCATATATATTTTGAGGTAACAATGGACATAATCTCTATCAAATTCACAGGTGAGAGTTTGTAATCATTAAATTTCATAAATCATTAAAATATAAGTAATATAGGCTTTCAGGGGGCAATCTATATATATAAAAGCCTAAGTGACTTTTATGGTGGAACAACCGGAATGACCAGTA